CCTTACATTGGGGGTCAGTGGGAAGAATGCTCCTTACATTGGGGGTCAGTGGGAAGAATGCTCCTTACATTGGGGGTCAGGGGGAAGAATGCCCCTTACATTGGGGGTCAGTGGGAAGCATGCTCCTTACATTGGGGGTCAGTGGGAAGAATGTGCCTTACATTGGGGGTCAGTGGGAAGAATGCTCCTTACATTGGGGGTCAGTGGGAAGAATCCCTTACATTGGGGTCAGTGGGAAGAATGTTCCTTACATTGGGGGTCAGTGGGAAGAATGCTCCTTACATTGGGGGTCAGTGAGAAGAATGCTCCTTACATTGGGGGTCAGGGGGAAGAATGCTCCTTACATTGGGGGTCAGTGGGAAGAATGTCCCTTACATTGGGGGTCAGTGGGAAGAATGCTCCTTACATTGGGGGTCAGTGGGAAGAATGTCCCTTACATTGGGGGTCAGTGGGAAGAATGTCCCTTACATTGGGGGTCAGTGAGACGAATGCTCCTTACATTGGGGGTCAGTGGGAAGAATGCTCCTTACATTGGAGGTCAGGGGGAAGAATGCTCCTTACATTGGGGGTCAGTGAGAAGAATGCTCCTTACATTGGGGGTCAGTGAGAAGAATGCTCCTTACATTGGGGGTCAGGGGGAAGAAACTGACCTGCATGTATGTTAAAGTGACCCTTTACCTCCCCCATGCAGTGAAAGAGGGTCACTTACACCCCCAGCAGCATGGAGTCATCTTTCTTCACTACCCTGATACTCTTAGGCTGCTTGGAAGGAAGGGAAATAACTGGCACTTTGGAATAGGGGCGAGCAATGTGACTGCCCATCAAGGACAGGGAAAGGACCCGTGTGTAAATCTCCAGCAAGTCAGTCTGGACCCTACAGCAGAACATGGAGCTGTGGGATTGAGGACGGGCGAGGACGGGCCTCCGGGGAAGGAAGGCAAGTTATGGAACCATTTTATTTTCCTTCTACAGTAGCACAGAACGGGGTCCCTCTGAACCTCATTAATGACATTTTCTGCAACCAAGATGCAATAACGATGATTTCAAATCAATTTGACCGACGGGAAGAGATTTCCGTATCTTTGTATTTATGTAAAATGTGCGTCCGTGGATATACGCCACCGACCTCAGACTCCAGCTCCGTCAGATTCCCCACGATCTCTCGGCATTCTGGGATCAGCTCTTCCATGTGATCTTGCAGACACTCCAACTCCTGAGAGAGAGAGAGAGAGAGAGAGAGAGAGAGAGAGAGAGAGAGAGAATACAATCGTCATATCCTAGGATTGGGGGAGGATAAAAAGGAGGCAGAACGGGATCCCCTCTCACCTGCCCCGTCTCCGTTTTCTCGTTGCACCATTTCCCCAGCTCCGTCATACACTTGGCCTGCAAGCCGGGATCCAGCTTCACATCCAGCGCTCTCTGATGGAGGATCCGCAGGACTTCCGCTCGGCACTCTCGAGATAGCTGCAGATGGAAACATAAAAGGATCGGCATTCAGAGGAATTTATAGTAGGAAAGAGATTTCCTTTCAGCTGGGACAACTCTGCTCACTTCACGAAGGGTGTGCAGGTCCGGAACTGAAACACGGCCAAAGGGTCAGGAGCACAAATCAGGTTTTCCGACCCAAATTTAGTGTCCTATGAAAATCTGACGTGATACATTATAATGTAGAATAGGGACGTCCCGATACAAGCATCGGTATCGGGACCGATACAGGGCATTTTGACAAGTACTTGTACTAATGCCCCAATACATAGTTACATAGTATTTGGGGGTTGAAGACATAAGTCCATCAAGTCCAACCTATTGCGTGTATGCATTTATGAGCAGGTGTGTGCGCGTGTATGAGTCCATGTGTGATTCTCTTAGCAGTACCTGTACCCCTGTATGTTCTGGTCTCCCAGGAACTCGTCCAGGAGTCTCTTCAATGCTTCCACACTCTTAAGCCCCGTTCACATTGAGCGATTTGTCGCGCGGTAATTCCCGCGATATCGCGGCAAATTACCGCGCGATATCGCTCTTCAATGCATTGCAATGGGGCAAAGGGTCCTGCTGTCGCGGGGTCGTGTGTCGCTACAGCAGGACCCTTTTTGGAGCGGATTTAGCCGCGATTCAAGCTTGCTCAATGCAAGCTTGAACGCGATATCGCGCAATATGCAAATCGTGTGACAAACGCGCGATTCGCATATCGCGCAGTGGGAACGGGGCCTGAGCGATTTATCGAGCGATTTTTGCAGCGATATCGCTCTATGTAGCTTCTCCAATCCATTTCAATGGAGCTGTTCACATCTCGTCGCTCCTACATGACCCTTTTTTAGAGCGATATTGCTCCTGATTGCATACAGCCCAATAGGAAAAAGTTGCGCAATATCGCTCAAAGTCGCGCGATTTTCATGTCGCTCAGTGTGAATGGGGCCTTAGCCGAAATCACTTCCTGCGGCAGAGAGTTCCAGACTTTAACCGCTCTGTGAAGAACCCCCTGCGCCCTGTCGCCGGCCACCTAAATTAGGACCCCCCACCTGGAGCGCCGCCCACCGGAGCAGTGATGCGACGCTCCTCTCCAGCTCAGCGCCGATGAGGTCCTCACGTGTGGATCGAGGCAACAGTGAGTAAGTTGGGGCCCGGGCTTTGTTTTTTGCGTGAACAAGAACAATCTACTGCTGCACTGCATTCTATATGTACTGTACATGTACTACATATAGAATACACTGCAGCAATAGATTTACAATTCTGACCTAACATGAATGCGTTAAACGATCCGTAGTACAACTACATGTTATGTAATATGGATCGTGATTTAACCCATTCATGTTAGCAGGGGATCATTGTAACTCTATTACTGCAGTGTACGGGACGTATGTGCTGTATATGTACTCTGGATCATGGTTGAACCCATTCATGTTAGCAGAGCAGAATTGTGAGCGCCTCCCACAAGCTGAGCGCCGAGACGCGATGCAGCGATCATGCCCAGCGCCGACTACGAGAGGCACCGCGTGAGGCAACAAGGTTCGGAGTGAAACTGTGAGTGAGGGAAGCTGGGACGGGGCTGGCTGTAAATCTATTGCTGGAGTGTACTGGACGTGTGTAATGTATGTGTAGTATGTAGTACATATATACAGCACACACCTCCACTACATTACAGCAATAGAGTTACAATTCTCCGCTGCTAACATGAAGGGGTTCAATCATGATCCATAGTACATAACATGTCGTTGTACTATGGATCATTTAAAGTCACCTGTCCCTTTAAAAAAAAAGCGATTTTTGCAGCGATATCGCTCTATGTAGCTTCTCCAATCCATTTCAATGGAGCTGTTCACATCTCGTCGCTCCTACATGACCCTTTTTTAGAGCGATATTGCTCCTGATTGCATACAGCCCAATAGGAAAAAGTTGCGCAATATCGCTCAAAGTCGCGCGATTTTCATGTCGCTCAGTGTGAATGGGGCCTTAGCCGAAATCACTTCCTGCGGCAGAGAGTTCCAGACTTTAACCGCTCTGTGAAGAACCCCCTGCGCCCTGTCGCCGGCCACCTAAATTAGGACCCCCCACCTGGAGCGCCGCCCACCGGAGCAGTGATGCGACGCTCCTCTCCAGCTCAGCGCCGATGAGGTCCTCACGTGTGGATCGAGGCAACAGTGAGTAAGTTGGGGCCCGGGCTTTGTTTTTTGCGTGAACAAGAACAATCTACTGCTGCACTGCATTCTATATGTACTGTACATGTACTACATATAGAATACACTGCAGCAATAGATTTACAATTCTGACCTAACATGAATGCGTTAAACGATCCGTAGTACAACTACATGTTATGTAATATGGATCGTGATTTAACCCATTCATGTTAGCAGGGGATCATTGTAACTCTATTACTGCAGTGTACGGGACGTATGTGCTGTATATGTACTCTGGATCATGGTTGAACCCATTCATGTTAGCAGAGCAGAATTGTGAGCGCCTCCCACAAGCTGAGCGCCGAGACGCGATGCAGCGATCATGCCCAGCGCCGACTACGAGAGGCACCGCGTGAGGCAACAAGGTTCGGAGTGAAACTGTGAGTGAGGGAAGCTGGGACGGGGCTGGCTGTAAATCTATTGCTGGAGTGTACTGGACGTGTGTAATGTATGTGTAGTATGTAGTACATATATACAGCACACACCTCCACTACATTACAGCAATAGAGTTACAATTCTCCGCTGCTAACATGAAGGGGTTCAATCATGATCCATAGTACATAACATGTCGTTGTACTATGGATCATTTAAAGTCACCTGTCCCTTTAAAAAAAA